GGCGTGAGATGACGAGAGCCTGGACCAGAACCTGCATCGCTTTCTGGGTCAGCTGGGGACGTATCCTCCTGATGTTGTAAAGAGTGTATCTGCAGCAGCGGGTTGTAGCAGCGATGTTTGCAGTGAAGGACAGTTTGTTATCTAGGATCACACCTAGATTCCTTGCAGTCTGAGTCGGGGAAACAACAGAGGTGCCGATGTTGATTGTTAGGTCAAGAGTGGGACAATCTTTTCCCGGAAGGAAAAGCAGTTCAGAATTGTCAAGGTTGAGCTTGAGGTGGTGAGCAGACATCCACTGAGAGATGTCTGCTAGACAAGCAGAGATGCGTGCGACGACCTGGGTCTTTGAGCGGGGAGAGGACAGAATGAATTGGGTGTCGTCAGCGTAGCAGTGGTATGAAAAACCATGCGGGCTAATGACTGATCCGAGTGAGTTTGTGTACAAGGAGAAGAGGAGGGGACCAAGAACAGAGCCCTGAGGGACCCCTGTAGTTAATTGACAAGGGTCGGACTCGGACCCTCTCCAAGTAACCCTGTAGGTGCGGTCTTTGATGATCCACATGTGTGTGTTACTGTATTTCCCCATTATATTAATTGCTTTCTTGTTATTGGCCTTCTATCTTAACAATTAACTCAAAATGAACACCTCTGTGTTAAATTGTAGTTAGATCAAGAGGTTAATAGACATGTAAAAAAATAATATTGATTTCAAAGTTCTAGCCCACCATTGAGCGCTGTTGAAAAATAAAAAATAAAACATCTAATAAAATGTACCTTTGATGCCTGAGCTGGCCAAAATTATTTTTTTGTGAAGGTTTACAACCTGTTTTTCTCAAACTCATTACAGAAAATAAAGGGTTCATTTTCCTGGGTAGGCCTACTGACCCTCAAAAGCTGCTTTCACATCAACTAAGTCAGAAACGTTTCCCTGTAGCTCACTTTAACCCTTACTGACCATTAACCATTAGCATATTGTTGTGTTGACTCATTGCTCATTGTAGCAAAAATGAGAAAACAACAGTTTAATAGCTAGCTGGCTTGCCGAGCAACCGCTGACAGTTAGCAAAGTTAGCAACTAGCTAGCTTGGGAAACACAACTTTGCGCAGTTAAAAAGTTCAGTAATTCCTTACGGAGTGAGTGGAGACAAACAAACTAAATATTGATTATATTGTAATATATAGTACAACTTACATTCTCCACGTATTCAGCAAAAACGACTCAAATAAAATGATGATGTTGCTTCAAAACTGCATAATGTGTCAGTTGTCACTGTTCTTAGTTTTTTTCCGTTGCCGCCATGCCACCCAAATAAATATTGCAGGTTCACACACTTACATTATTTTTTTATGAATTACTCATTTCAAATCTGTCATAAAAACAACCACCTATAAAACTAGAAATATAATTTAAATAAGAATGATTAGGTCATTTCAAAGTAAGAAACTAAGTTCTCGTCATTTCTTAAATGTTTGACATTGAAATGTTACTTAATTATCTTATTAAATACGGAACTTTTGGAATGGGAGCATATGGGAGAATGGGAGCACTACTGCTATAGTAGAAAATGAAATAAAGCATAGCCTAATAATAACATTGATCAACACGAAAAGTATGATATAACAAATCTTATCACATGATCTTGTTCTTACACAAAAAATACAACAACTAACTTTTCATGTTACTACTTGATGAAAATGTTTTTTTTTTTAATGGTTGCAGCAATACGCTTACGTCCTTTCGGGCCCCGTAAGTCTCAAGACCAACTTTAGTCATCTGCAGAGGAGTGAAAATATCCAGGAAAAAGAGGCGAGGTCTTTGCATATGACTGACCAAAAAAACTAAACAGATTAAACATATTGGTAATAAAAACAAACACCATTATTGATTTAACATTTTATGGAGTTTATTCTTTCCCCCCTCCTTTTATCTCTGAATCAACGCATCTTTTTATAATCAAAAAGTAAAATAAGCCATTTCATTTCCACAGCCAACTGCAGTCTGCTCTGTCTCTTCAATGCATTTTATTAACTTTAATATACAAAATAAGAATGGTTGCTTTCTTTCATTGCTGTTTATCTACTGTACAGTGGGTCTTTCAACACCCCCAACAATAGCCCGTCTCCTCAGTCTCTCCTCTGTTCGATCAGGAGCTTCTTTTACTTCTTTACGACCTGGATGACGTCCTCGTGCTCCATGATGTGCGTCAGGCCGACCCTCTGAGGGCTGTACTTGGTACTGGTTCCCTGGAAGAGCAACAGAGGATAAAGTTCAGACCCTTTTTTTTTTTTTTAAATGGATTCAAACATAATGAATCACTAAACCTGTGTAGAGATGTGCTCTACTCTGCTTCTCATGTGTCATGGCACAGTAAACACAGCTGAGCTCTAAATATAGTGACTATTTTTGTAAATGCCTTTTCCCCCACATAACAAATAATTGTATGCGCTGCAGCTATGTTAACACTAATGAAGTATGTTTATTTAATAAAGCTTAAGTACAACGACATTGCTGACAGTCAGCATGCTTACACCGTGTCCCTGTTTCGTACAATATACAATATCAAGTGTATTTGTGTACTAAATAAATAAATATAATTTTTCACATTTCTGCTTGACACCCATCGTGAGATAAAAGCAACATAATCACACATTAACAAATGTTGTAATGTTAATATGTATACCACAGAAATACAATTATTTATTTTAGTACATTTTCTTTAGTGAAATGACACAAAAAGGACAAGAAACCGGGGCACCTTTAAAACTTATTTTCAGATTTGATATTTGCTCATACATATTTACAGCAAGAAATCTGACCCATAAATCAGTGTTTAGTGCTGTGGTTTTCAAAATGAATGGACATGTCTTTTTAAATCTGCCCAATGAACAAAAACAAAGAGTTCTTGTGAAACGTAACACCTGTTGTAGAAGCGTCAAGTATGTCTAATGCAAATAAATCCATCACATCAACAAACATTCGTTGTCTATTTTACTCAATAAGGCAAATTTGTTATTTCCCACAGTTTATGGGAAGAGATACAAATGTTAGATTTTCTGAAGGTCATTGCCTCTACAAGCTTGTACTTACCCAAACCAGGGCGTATTTGAACTGTCCGACTAAGGTTCTGTGGATTCGATGACACTACGAGGGAGAGAAAAACCAAAGCAGACATATTTGCAATCATATCGTAGAGCAGATACAGCAGGTCTAACTACTGTAGTGTTATTATTGGATATGTGTCAAATAATGTTCTTACCACATGTTCTACAGTTGCAGCTCTTCTCATGATGATGGCATCACCAAAGTCTGGGCGCTCTAATGGGAAATAAAAATAAATGGACACATGTTTAATACGCTAGGTACGCTTGTGCCTGTAAAAAGAACATGAGTGAATAAGAAAAACATTTGTGTACCTCCTCTTTTCTTAGTGTAAATGCAAATCAGAGCCAGGTATTCCCACAACGTCTCCAGCAGGTAGTCCAGGTTCAACTTCATCCCACAACTGAAGACATAAGGAGGAAGTTGTTAAACACTGACAAACTGTTACATACAAAGAGTAATATAGAAACGTCCAACCAACTAAGACTACCGTAATTTTCGGACTATAAGGCGCACCTGAATATAAGCCGCAGCAGCTAAATTGAATGATGTGTACATAAGCCGCACTGGACTATAAGCCGCAGGTGTTTTAATGTTTAATTACCATATGTAAGGGTTCGTGCACAGAGGGGATTGTCGGGAAAGAGATGGCTGTTTGAGGAAGCTCCCATTTATTAACATTTCAACAAACAAGTTGTATATTTGCATAACGTATTCAAGTGTTAGCATTTAGTGCAATAGTAGCTACAGAACATGTACTGTGTAAACTGTACTGTATCACATAGCGTTTCAGACACACAAACTTTTCAACTTTCAAACTTAAACGGTGCGCTCCCAGCGCACGTACCGGCAGTGATCTACAGCAG